TTCAAATTTTCGTGTGGTAAGAAGATGAGCGATTCGGAGGAGAACAGCGTCGCGGCGGCGACGCCGACGCCCGACCACGTCTTCAATCGCGTCTCGAATTGGATCAGCACTCACGATTTCAAGCCGCAAAACTACGAGGATCAAGTCGAAACCAACCTGGTGGACGGCATCACCGACATCACGTCGGTTACGAAGAACATCGAGAGGACGCGGAGGACGGCGCCGAGTGACGACGGCCTGGTGGTGGAGGAGCGTACGGATGTGGTCAAGTGCGGCGATACCACCAATGAACTTGTCGATAAAGACGAACACTTTATCAAAAATCTGACCAAGTTTTCGCAATATTCGCCGTTTGATAAGAAGAAGAGGAATCGGACGGCGAGTCCTAGCCACTTTTCCGTCATCGTCGAAGGAGAAGAATTAGTATGTCCTTATAGTAACCTTGTCCTTACCTCAATCCTTGGCTTATACCTCGTTTTATCTTTATATTACTACGATTTTACTATAGGTTACTTGTTTTGTCCGTATTGACCGAAAATAAATTTTTTTGCGACCGATTTTGCACTTTCTCTTGTTGACAGGAACTACCCGAGCCGAAAAAAAGCGATACTTCTTTCAAGTCGGTGAAACAACATCAAATACAGCCTCCAGTGGCATACCAGCCCCCTGTTTCTCGACCCTCGAGTCGTCATAAAAGACACGCCGAACCGATTTCGCTCAATAGACAGAGTCTTGAGAGGAAAACTAGGAAGAGAAGGACTATGGAGAAGATCGGTGCTAGTGTTGTGAGTATTTTTCTCTTGGTTCTGTGGCAAAAATTCAATATCAGGCTCATTGTTATTTTTTTCTCGATTTTTTTTTGTATTATCGGTCATTTTTTACTAACCTGGACTCGGTTTCCAAGTTTGAGATTCAAGAAATTTCAAGAAATTATAGGCAAAGTGGTCGCCAGAATCACAACTTTTACAAATTTTTTTTATTAATTTTAATTACAATAAAAATACAGGGTGCCCCCTTTAAATAGTAAAATTAATAAAAAATTATATAGGGCATTGATAGATACTAATCTAGTCTATCGCCTAAAATTACTTTCAACTACAGCGTGTCTCAAAAATAAGTTACAATATAAACTTGTGTTTTTTTTAAATGAAACACCATATGTTTCTTAGTAGGAGGAGTAATTACTATGGTTGCCAACAATGCTCAGATACTTTTAGGCTTTGTTACTACAATTAATATGGAATGTTAAATATCTTTTCATTTATCAATTCTAGACATTAAAAGTTATTTTTTTTAGATAAACAATTTATCAATCTATTAGATGCAAAAATAAAAAATAGGGTGTTCCAATTAATTTTTTTAAGTTATTTAACTTTTAACTAAGATTTTAATTTATTAATTTTTACAAGTACAAAACTCTAAAAAATTGCTACAGCTTTAGATTCTGTACTTTCTTTTTTGCAGAAGTAAGAAAAAATTTGTTCTAGCAGTCTTAGTTTTTGTGAATAAATTTTTAAAAGTTCATGTTTTCTGTTTTCGTCAAAAAAAAACTTTAATTTCTAAAACTAAACGAAATCGACTAATAAAAGTTTAGCGTAAAAACATTGTTTTAAAAGGCTACATCCAAAAACGCTAAAAAACATACGGTGTTTCATTTAAAAAAACACAAGTTTGTATCATAACTTATTTTTGGGACATGCTGTATGCTTGAAATTTTAGGTGATGCACAATGTCCTATACAATTTTTTTAATTTTACCACTTAAAGGTCACTTATGGACTTTTTCAACTCTCTGGGACACCCTGTATATACTAAGCGGTTTATATTGCTTAATTAATAATAATTTTGAAAACTTACTAAGCTCACAAAACCATCAATTTTGTTTGGCTATACTTTTTGTTACAAATATATTAACACTCAAGCTGAGAAACTGAGTTTATTAACCGATTTCAACTATTCTCATTGTATCATAATTCATAACAATAATATAGTAATTATTTACTACAGACTTGTTTTCCTTTTCCCTTTTCTATTTTTTTTTTTCAGATACGGTTATCAATTTTTGAGTTTTTTTAGTACACTATTAACGAATAAAATGTGTCCCTTTCCAGCTTTTCCGCAGCTTCCTGGACGCCTTCCTCGAAAGCTTCCTCGTGGGCTTCGTCCTCGTGATCCTCGACCTCCTCCTGAATTCCAGCATCCCGTCCGACTCGTCATTTTATTTTTAAGAAAACTGTACTGTGTAAAACATAAATGCGCATAATCGTAGTTTTATTGTGTTGGTGAATTTGGGTTTGTTTTTTTTTTTTTTTCTTCAAAGGAGGAAAGACAGAAAATTTTGGAAGAAATCGTCGCGAATCGAAACGAAAGACACAATAAAAGAAGGCAACAAAGAAGGTTGCAAACTGAACAGTTTTTAAAGAGTATGCAGATGTTGCAAGCGAATGCAAAACCCGATTCGCAACCGTTTGAAGATTATTCGCTGTTTGTTTATAGACAGACGGCGCCGAATTTTGAAGATAGGGTCAAAGATTTAGAGAAAAAGTTTACTTATGTTCCCGTAAGAGGGTGTTGTTTGATGTTACTAACAGTTTTATGTTTTGTCTAACACTAGATTAAAACAAAAAAGAAAAATTTGTTTGGTGTTGAATTTGATACTAATCTGAAGCTGATTTTCGACAATTTAACAAAAATTGGCGCTTGCTAGGTAGAAATACATCTTTTATATTTCTCGTATTTTTCATGAAAGAAAAAAAGCAAGATAAAATTGTAGGGTTTGCGACTGACATATCTAGAAATGTTGAAACTTAGTTCCTTTTCTATTTTGATTTTTTAAACAAATTTTAGCTAGGTTTACAATACAACTAGGTCTAAGAAATACATCGATTTAAATAAGAGACAAACTTTGGAGATAAAGTAGAAAACACTGCTTTCATCTTTTTCTACATTGCGACGTACATATTTGATTTATCAGACTCTACCTTGTTTCGACTAGACAAAAATAAAAGTTTTCTAATTAGCCAAGTGACAAACTTTTTTTATATCTAAAAAAAACTATCTACAATTATAAAAATCACAGTGAACAAAAACAGCTATAAAGCGTTTCAGATTTACTAGATATATGTCAGAAATAAGTATATATTTATTTGTGACTAAAGTTACATCAAGAAAAGACCGCAGCACTTAACAACGTATATCACGTAACCTTGACCTATATTATGCAATTATCTCGATTAATTTGTACAGACGTTTTTACAAAGTTTCAGGTTTACTAGGTAATACCAGGTGAATAAAAAGCATGGAAAACTATTTTTTTTTTTGGAAAAACTAATTGATGAATATCAAAGTACAGTAATGGACAGTGAATTTCGTCCACCCAATTAATTTCTGTGAATTCACAAAAAATCACTGTAGTCTGATTATTGTCATAATAACTGACATTCAAATACGTATTGTCAAATTTAAACAAATTCAAAATAAAAATTATCTCTCGGGTACAGAAGGTATGTCTCAAAAACGTGTCTCTATACTTTTGGGCATACCAAGGACTACCATTTGAAAGGACAAAGGTGAAAAGTAGCAAGAAGCATCAACATAACAAACGTTAATTAAAATTCTGAAACAAGGTTAGGAAAACCTAAAGACTAATTTACACTTTTAGTCTGTCAGGGAAATTGGGTGGACGAAATTCACTGTCCATCTCTGTACTATAAAAATGTGATATTTTATCAAAAATAAATTTTTTTGTGTTTTTGAGTTGTACAATTTTTTTAATTTTTCAAATGGCAACCCACATAAAGCCATTTTTCTCATGAAGGTTATGATCTAAGGATTACAAGTGTTTTACTTTATATTTAATTAAAAAAAAAATAGCGGAAAATTAATTTAGAAATGACTGCGAGTATAGTTAACCTTGGTACAGGCTGCGCCAGAACTCGCGCCTCAGAGAAATGGGAAAAGATACCAGGAACATGGAAATAAATGTTAAAAAAAACTCTATCGATAAAAATTTCGAAGTTAAAGTGCTTTTTTTGCTACAGGATATTAGAAGAGGAAACAAGGAAGCTGTTTAATGTTATTTGTGGCTTTTATTACCAAAATTTTTGTACTTTTACTAAAGATCATCATTATGATAAAATAAAAAAATGTCAAATGTCAAAAAAAAATTTACAGATAGAATTTTTTAATTTTTTTTCTTACTTGCAATTTTTCTCTGGGACGCGAGTTCTGACAATCCTGTATGTACTAGCTTACAAAAAATAAAACATGACATGAATTTTGTGCGATTTTTGGTCTTATAACTCGTGTGGCATGTTGATTTTTTCACATTTTTAGACAAAGTTTTGATCGAAAATAATTTTTAGGACCACGAAAACAAATTACCGAACCAGACTCGCGGCAACACCGACGAGGACTTCGCGGCTAGAATCAAAAGTCTAGAAGACAAATGGCGGGAGCCACAACCTGCCGAAAAGAAACCAAAAGATCTCTTACGTGCAATAGGAAAAATCGAAACTTCCGACTGGAACATCAAAGAAATCGAAAAGAAAATCCGAGAGAACAAACTGGGAAAACCCGCCAACAAAGACAAAGAAAAAGTACCAAAATGGAGCAAAGAACAATTCAAAGCGCGCCAAACTAAAATGGAAAAACAGCACTTGGAGCGACAAGACAGTGCTGAAGCGAAATTCGCCGACATCGACAAAAACATCAAACATTTGGAGTTGAAATTGAAAGAGGGCACTGCTAGGGACTTGGGACAGAACAAAGTGGCCTCAATCACCGAGAAATTCGCCAGCAAGCCTCCGGAAAGCGCCGAGTCCAAATCCCTCCAAAAAAGCGTAATTCCTCATATTTTAAATTAAAACAAAGTGTTCAAAAGTATTTTTTGTAGCAATCACGTCCTGTGATTCTCCCCTCGCAAAACGCCTCAGAATTCTGCCATTTCTGCAACAAACGCGTCTATCTCATGGAGCGGCTTTCGGCCGAAGGCCGATTTTTCCACCACGGATGCTTCAAATGTCAATATTGCCACACTCAGCTCCGGCTTGGGTCCTATGCGTTCGACAGAGACGGCATCTACGACCACAAGTTCTTCTGTATTCACCATTATGGCATGCAGGGCGAATTGAGGGTCACGAAAGTGGTGCGTAAGCCGTCGCAGAGACAGCTCGGGAAGAGTCCTGAGAAGAAACCGCTGAGTGGAATCGCCGGAGTTGATTTGTTGGATAGAGTGAGGACGCCTGAGAGGGTCGAGTTTGCCAATTTGAGTGGGGCTGCGTCCGATCATGAGGAGTCGCTGAGTCAGATGGACGAGGACGAGTGGACCGATAAGAATTTTGGGGCCTCGGCGGCCGAGTTGGGGAGCAGTGATGACGAGTCGTCGAGTCTAAGGTAAAAAATACCTGGGATCTAACTATAGAAAAATCACTTTCTGTAAATGGTGGTATATTACTGCGAATTTTGTTAAAACTTACGTAAATAGAGAACGTAGAAGACAATTTTTTAACAAAAATAAAAAAAACAATAGTTCATTATTTTATTCGGATTAAAAGTGATAATTTATGTGGCGAAGATGAACGTAGTGAGGCAATTAATTCAGCTGAGCCACTAATATTAGTATTTTATTTGTAAACATAGGAGCAACATAATTAGTAAATGTCACGGTAAAAGTGACAACTTTTACTGCAACAATTAGTCTTAAAAATGGCCACTTTTGTGACGTTTGCGGAAAAAGATTTTTTTTTAATGATTAAAATAAGTAAAAATTGGTCTGAATACTAACATTTTTGTTGTTTATTAATAGATTTATGTTCTTTTTTCTCATACATATTTCTTCTTTTTCTTTATCTAATGATGCTTTAGAATTTTTTGTTGTTTTTTTTTTTTTAAATTGAAGTGAATTCGTTATTTCTGTATCTGAGAGCGACAGCTTAAGTTCATTTTTTTTTAAATAAATAATACTTTTAGTTAAAACGGAATATTTAATATACCTTCTACAGGTGTGCGGAAAGATAAGAGCACCTCCTTGAAAGAATGCTGAAAAAATGTTTAAAAAAAATTTGGCATTTTTTTATGTCTATTTAATGGTACTGATGATCATGTATATGTTTTTTTATAATAATTTAGTAAAGAGACAAAAATTTTGCCAATAAAAGCCACAAATAACACTAAACACAGTTATAATTTAGGATACAGCTTTCTTGTTTATTTTTCTAATAGCCTGTAGCAAAAAAAGTTGGAAAATTATTTTTCCAATAGAAATAAATAGTGACAAAGTGCAAAATTTAAACTCTCATAACTTCAAAATTTTTATTGGTAGATTTTTTTATATTTTTCTTGTTGTCTTAGGCATCGCTAGATGCGCGACTTTCCGGACACCCTGTATTTCAAACAGTGCATAAAATCTTGCAATCAGCAGTAATTAACAAAATGCCAGATTTTGAAATGTTATAAGTCCAGGGTAATGCTAGAGCGACAAAGTATTAAGTCCAAAGAGAATTGTATCTAAGTAAAAAAATACAGTATGTTCCCGGATTGGGTTTACAAGAGGAATTTTTTTTATCTTTGATTTTACGCCAAAACTGCAAAGGAAAAACATTTTTTGCTTTACCTGAAACTAGCAAATCTGTAATTAAAACTTCATTATTCTAACTCAGTAGAAAGAAAAGTTATTTTTTCTCTTGATTTTAGACTTTAGAGCAGAGAAAAATTATTACATTATGTATTATTATTAAGTCGAAAATCAAGAGAAAATTAACTTTTCTTATCACTGTATCAGAATAATGAAGTTTTAAGTACAGATTTGTTCGTTTCAAGTGAAGCAAAAAATGTTTTTCCTTTGTAGTTTTGGCGTAGTCAAAGATAAAAAAAATTTCCTCTTGTAAACTCAATCCGGGGACATACTCTATATTGTGGAAACAAAAAACATAAAATCACCATGTAGTAATTTGCGTCGGAATAAAATAATGCAAATCGTTAATAATACAACAACGTCAACAAATTTTTACGGATTTTTGAAAACCAAGTTTTTTATGAAAAAAAGTTTTTCTTAATACATTGTCGATTAGTACTGGATTTTTACATGAAGCTCCCAAAAAATGTTTGACAACTGGAAAAAGAGGAAAAAATACGCCATAAACAAAACCTCTGATAATGTATAAAATACATATAGAAGACAAATTAGAAGAATGTTTGAACTTTGGTAACGTTTATTTCTTGTGTTTCAAGAAAAAAGTGTGGAGATAAAAGCTAATTTATTTATGAATTATACAGGGTGCGTCAGAACTCGCGCCCCAGAGAAAAATTTTAAGTAAGATAAGATACCAGGAACATGGAAAAAATGTTTAAAAAATTCTATCTGTCAAAAAATTTTGACATTAATTTTTTGACATTTAACATTTTTTTATGTGTATTTAATGATACTGATGACCTTGTATATGTTTTTTTACAATTATTTAGTAAAGATACAAAAATTTTGCCAATAGAAGCCACAAATAACATTGAACAGAGTTACAATGTAGGATACAGCTTCCTTGTTTCCTCTTTTAATAGGCTATACCAAAAAAAATTGGAAAATTATTTTTCCAACAGAAATAAATAGAGTCAAAGTGCAAAATTTAAACCCTCATAACTTCAAAATTTTTATAGATAAATTTTTTTAACATTTTTTCCATGTTCCTAGGATCTTACTTTATATGGCATTTTTCTCTGGGGCGCGAGTTCTGACGCACCCTGTATGAATTTATTGGATTTAATTAACAGACATAGGAAAATTATATTTTAAAACAATTTCTCAGTTAATAAATATATTGTTAAAAAAAAATCAATAATTTATACCTTAGACTTAAGTTATTTTAGCTTTTTTGCATATTTAAAAAAATTATGTTTTGGGCGCTAAAGTATTAAGTCCCTTTAGTCCCTTTTATTAAATACAAATAAATCAAAATCAAATATCTCTTTGTTAATCTACTAGATCCACTTACAACAAAATGTTCCACAACATAACCATTCTGAAATGTTAGGTAAAATTGTAACATTGGTTTCTAATTGAAAATTTTTGTTTTAAATTATTTCGGAACATTAATGGACTGGCTGTTTTCGTTCTAAAGTACAGATTTCTAAAAAAACTTTTCGGATTCTTTGTTCACTCTGCATAGTTTAAAATAATTTCGCAGTACCATCATTTGCTCTATACTCCTTGCCAACGTAATTTTTTTCTATTTTGATAAAATTATTAGTGGTACCGACAGTGACGACGAGGACGCCTACGAAGAGGCATTGGAGGAACCAGCGACTAAAGAAGGTACCTTAAAGTGGGCCGAACGCTGGCACAGGAGGTACTCTAAGAAGAGGAACGACTCGGATTCCGACGACTACAGCAGTTCGGACCGTTCCAGTTACTATGAAAATAGTAGCGATGGTGAGTACTTTTTTGACACTGTCAGTTCGCATTAATTATCAAAATTTTCTGTCAAAATTATGGAATCTAACGAAACTACCAATCACCCCGTCTTACAAATTATTGGTTCGGTGATATTATGGATTCTGCTGGTACCCATTGTTATGATTATGTTGGTACTCGGGTTATGGATTTTAATCGTTAAGTCGACGGCAGAAGTGTTGGTAGTGATGGCTATGGTTTTTGTGACGGCTTTGATGAGCCTTTTGGCCTATATCGTGCATTTGTTTGTTTAATTTCGAGATAATTATATTTTGACAACTTACTTTAATAAATGCGACTATAGTACACATTTTTTAGTTATCATTTGGGTCAAACTATGATATTTAAGCTATAAAAAAGTTACAAAAATACAATGGGAATGTATCTCGGGTAAAGTGACGTTAAACTGTCAAAATTTAAAAATTGCACGGCTTTCTAGATGGATAAATGCTCAATAACTGGAAACTATTCATCGTGAAGCATTTTAACCAGATTGTGCGTTATTTTATGTCTAGCAGGACATTTTTGTAGTTTATTTACTATTTTTATGATTTGACTCAACAATACAGGGTGTTAAAAAAAGATTGTAAAATATTTTAGGAAGTAATAGTATGGACCAAAACAAACAAAAAAGTCTTAATAAACATGGGTCCTCAAAGTAAAGGTTTCAGATTGAGTAAAAAATTAAATAAACAATTTAAAAAACAAAAAAATAATAACGAAAAAATCAAATAAAAAACTGAGGATGTTGGAAAAACTAAAGAAAATGAAGATGATGATGAAGGAAAGAAGATTTAATTGACATTTCCTTTAATTTAATTAACAGTTCCATAAATTTATTCTCTTTTGGTCATACATCTTACATATTACTTACAGAATGTTGTAAAAACTCTTGTTTTTTTTAATGTTTTTACCGAAGTTTTAACAATTTTTCAAAGTTTTTAAAATACTGGTCTGGTATGTAATGTGAATTTTTTGTATTTTATTCTCTTATTACAATGTAAAACACAAAAATGTTTCTTTTGTGTAATTTTGACACCAACAAGAACGGATTTACGTCCACTTGAAATGTTTTAGTCTTTTAGTTATACATATTTTGGCTTATTGTAACTATCGCGATTATTATTAAGGACTTTTATTTTTAATAAAAAAACGTGGTTTTATTTGTTTTGCCACCGACTTGACCAATTTTGAGTCCACTTGAAGTGTTTTGGATTAAAGAAAATCAAAGAAAACTTAATCTGAAGAAAATGAGAAAAATTATTTTAATAAAAATGAGAAATAAAGAAATGGAATTTGAGAATAATATACGGAAGTAGAATCAAAAAATTGGCATGACATAATAAAAACGATTGTTTTTATTATGTCATGCCAGATTTGACAATACAAAAAATAAAGAAAATTAAATTTTATTTATCTCAGAAACAAAGAAACAGTGGTTGAAAAAAACTTGAAACGGTAATTTAACAATTGGGAAAAGATATAAGAAAAAATTGAGAGTACAAAAAATAAAAACGATACGTAAAACAAACAAAACTACGAATATCGAAAAAAAAACTGAAGAAGGTAAAGATAATGAAAAAGATAAAAAAATTGTAGATCTACTTGACAATATCAAATTTTTTTTTGTTTATACGTTTTACTTCAGTTCTTAAGCTCTTATTATGCTATTTTTCTTATTTTTTAATATTCTTACAAATTTTGAATGTTCTTAGAATTCTGATGTGTTGTTTAACACATTTATATTTTTTGTATCATAATTCTTAAGAATTACGATGTAAAACAAGACAGAAATGAAAAAGTAATAATAATAATAATAATAATGTTTATTTATCTCAAAAAATATAGGTATGTAACTATACAGAGTGGTTATAAATGGTTTTCATCTCGCCAGCTTAGGAATTTTTTTTTATGTAACTTTATTTGTGACGCTCTACTTTTTTTCAAAGCTCTAGTTCTGTCATTAGTGTCACTTATTAATGAATAATAAATTGTTGTTAATTAAACTTTTATTGTTTCAACTAATTTGCAATAATAATTGATAATAATGTATACTTTGGAAGAAAACAAGTTTATAATTGAAGTCTATTTTCGAAGTGGACGCTTAGTAAACGGCGATTTTTTTAATTTTGAGTTAAAACAAGTAGGTACCGTTATTATCGTAACGCGGCATTTTTTATTTTACATGGAAAATTCACAGCTAGCTAGATGAAAATCATTTATAACCACTTTGTACAAGGTACGTCATAATATAAACAAATACATAATACACATAATAAAAATAAATACATAAATATCTTCAACTCTACTAAACCAAGTCAAGATATTTTTGTATAGAATATATACTTTTATTCAAAAGTAAATTTGTCACACTATTATTTTTTTTCAGATTAGAAATATTCTTGACATGAATCGGCAGCTTATTATAGAGTTTAAGTGGCATAATACTAGCACTACAGGCTGTACAATCTAACCTATGTGCAGGAATCAGTATGTTATTCTTGTTACGCAAATTATACATATCACTAGCTGCTCTTTCCGTAGAAAAAATTCGAAGATTTAACACAAACAACAGACAATACAATGTAAAGTGACACCACAGTTAAAATATCTAACTTTTTAAACATGGGCTTACAGGTGACTCTAGATTTTTTAAACAATATAGTCTTCACTATCATTTTTTGTGCGCACAAAACTTCTTTTACTCTTACTGCATTGCCTCAGCACGCGATAAACTTTGAGTGATTCAAGACTGATTCTATCTCGTAGTTGACGAAGAATAAAAAAGCACTGAGTCGATAGTTTCGTAAGGACAATGTCGATATGGTCAGACCAAATCAAGTTAGCGTCAAACATAAGAACAAGAAATAATTAAGGCTTTTACCCTTATTCTAATTCTTAATAAACCCATGTTTATTAAGAACCCATGTTCGTACAGTAACGGTTTCGGATATATTGAAAATTCTTCGTTTTTTGAAACATTTATTTGTAATGAAAAAGAGAAACTTCTAATAGGAATTCTAAAAATTTTCACATATGATACCTCCGAAACCGTAACTTTGCGGACCCATGTTTATTAAGACTTTTTTGTTTATTTTGGTCCATACTATTACCCCCTTAAATATTTTACAATCTTTATGTATTTACGTCATTTGCTCCAATTTAAAAAATCGAAAGCTCTTAGCTTATTCTTAAAAAAAAATTGTTTGTTGCAGACGACGAGTCCGACACGGCCACTGAGGGCGAGGAGGAGATCCGTGCCCGCGAGCTGCGCAAGCAGGAGGTCCGTGTGGAGCCCCCTGTGGTCCAGACCGACACTGGCACCGATACTGAGGTGAAGTCACCTAACTTACCGTCCGACATTCCGGACATCCTCTCCGACAATCACTTACGCGTTCCCGACGCGAAATCCGACGACGATTCGGCCGATTTCAGCAGCGCCATCTCCGGATCTGACACCGAATCACCCAAAAATTTCACTCTTACGAAAAGCGCCACCGCCGGTGCTTTACCCAAACCCTCGAGAAATTTTATTTTGAGTGAGAAACGTAAAAGTTTCGGAAGCGAATTCGTACCGAAGTTTAAAGTAACCGAACCGGAACCACTACTTATAATCAAACGAACTCCGAGTAAATTAAATATACCGAAAGAAATCGGAAAACCGAAAGTGGCCCTCGCTACGAATCTCGATAATGTTAAAAAGTATTTTGGAACACCGGCGGTTAAACCGGTCGCGCCTAAACCGATTCTGAAACGGTCCGAAACTGTAGCAAATGTACCCAAAAATCGGTTAATCAAACAAGTTAGTTTACCCGACAACAAAAAACCGGAAGTTACGTTCAATTTTGACCCACTTGATGATAATAAAGAGGTTGATAGCTACATTGAGAGTCTTTTAGCGAATGAAGAAGAATTGAAGAAACCTATAGACCTCTCCAAGTTTAAAACTCAGTCCGAAGAAAGTGAAGATAATGAAGATGATGCAATTTCTAGTAGCATTGAAGACCTGTTTAAGGCTCTTCACACTGAAACCAAACCCGAAGGTGACCCTCTAGTCAATAAAAAAATCGATGAAAAAATCGAAGATTTGCTAACTTGGATGGACGACCTTGAACACCAATCACGTGACCGGAAAACCTACAGATCATTCAGTGATGCCAAATATAAAAACTTAGAACGCGTATTAAAAGTCCCTAAACGTGCCGATTCGGTCATTAGTAAACTCCCTAAAGACAATATCGCGTATTTTGAGCGTCATCTGGCGGGCAAAAGTGTCGATGACGACGAACCACCAAAAATCTTCACTTTATCGCGATCCAAAACCGATATTTATTGCAACAAACCACGAAGTTCGGTCGATTTAGATGCGGTTAGTAATGTTGATATTAAGAAAGTTTTAATGAAATTCGAGAAGGCTGGAAGTCAGGAAAAAGAAGAAGAGAAACAAGTGCCGAAGAGGAATTTCGGGAAGAGATTCTCGTTGACGAGTTTGAAGCAAAGGGATGAGAATTTAGAAGCGGCGATTAAAGATTTTGAAGATTTTGTCGGGGGAATGGAGGGGAAGAAGAAGAAGGAAGAAAAGGATTGGTGTGTTAATATAACCGTTTCAACTATACCAAATCCTGAGTTTTTGGGACTCGGGACACAATGTGAAGAATCTCTCAAAAGTAAAGAAACAGAACGAAGCAAAGAAGAAAATGTATCTTCTAGTAGTTTGGACACAGATTCTGAAAGTGAAGATACAGGTGGCAACTCTGATCACTTAGTTGAAGCTATTGATCAGAAAAGTGAAGAAAGTGGAGAAAATTTGGTTTCTAAAATTGAAGATAATGTAGACTGTTCTAAAACACAAATTGGAGATTTTGGCAAATTGAAAAATTTTACATTTGAAGATAACAGTTCAAAAACTGGAAACAATATTAACGATTTCGATATAGAAAGTGCAGATAAAGATCAGAAAAGTGACGTTACACAAAACTCAGACAAATCAGAGAAATTCAAAATTGAAGATAATAGTTTGAAAACTGTAGAAAATATTGAAGATAAAGCAGGATGTTCTAAAATTGAAGATTCAGACAAATTTGAAGATAGAAGTCTGAAAAATGAAGAAAGTATTAAAGATCCAGGTGGTTCTAAAATTGAAGAAATAGCTCAAAAAAGTGAGGAATTTAACAAAATTATAAATGAAGAAAGAGCTTCAGAAACTGAAGACAGTTCCGAAAATGAAGATTCAGGACAAAATTTCGCAATCACTGGCTCAAAAAATCTTCTTTATGTAGATCAATCGAAGGACCCTGTGTACGCAACAATTGAAGAATTGAATAAAAGTGAAGCCAAAAAACAGGTTAATCTTGAGGACCTCTACGCTAAAGTGAACAAACCTCAAAAAGCTAAATTGAGTACTTGTTCCCCTCCAGTACCCCGACGTACTCGGAAGAAATCTTTTGAGGAGGCTCCCGTGCCCCCTCCACGACCTCAACGTCAAAAAAGTCAAACCGAACCTAACAATAATGAGGAGTTTTTAGCGCCGATTGTGCCTCAACGCAAACGAGCCATGACTTCGTCTCCTCTACCTCACCGTAAGTCCGATTTGGCGCCACCGTCGACTTCCACCTCCTCAAAAAGTCGCTCGACTACGAATCTTGAAGTCCAGAAAGAGATCGTTCGATTGAGGGACTTACCGAAAGTCCAAAACGCCAAATCGCGAAACAAGGATAAAGACTGCACTTTACAATAATCGATTTTTACTAATCTTTTTTCTAATTTTATAGTTTTTATAGTCCGCGCGCGATTAATATTCCGCGAATGATACGCTTTTTGTTAATTATTGTTGAATTTTTTTTTCTCTCGAAGAGTTTATCAAGTGTTTTGAATTGTTAAAGTTTATCAGTGTTGGCGCTTTTTAAATGTTTAAGGTCTAATGCATTCACAAATTTAAAAGTCCCCAAGAAAAAATGGTCAACAATCACGTTTAAGCAATGGTGACGTTAAGGTAACTATTGTTGGCGTGATCGAGTGGCGTTTTTCTGTTTTTTTTTTCATTCTAATTTTTTTTTTCACTTGTTGTGCTACTTAATCCATTGCTGACGTGAGTGTTGTTCTAACCCCAATGCTAACACTCGTTGTTTTTTCTGCAACTGACGCAGAGCGGTCTTGATGCGTCGCGATCAACGCTGATTGGCCAGCTTGGAAGCAAAGCCTGCTACTGTTAATTGCTAATTTAAACACTCTAGTATTGATCTCTTTATGTTAAAAAAATTAATTTGAAAAAAATAAGTGTTCAATTTTTCATCATTTTTTAACATTTAAAAAGTTCAATAGTAGACTTTATCCTGTGGTTAAAACTTTAAAATTAGTTAATATTTTTTCAGGTGGTTTCGGATGAGTCAACCTCGGACTCCTCCAGCGAGATTCGCAATTCAGCGACTGAAATCTCCACCGATTCGGAATTCGCCCACGACGACCCGACTCCCACCCGCGAGGCCCCCTTTATGCCTTTCAATGACGTTCACGTGACCAAAACCCGCGGTAGCCACCATCGAACCCCCCGAAAAATCCAGGTGACGAGCAGTTACTTACAGCGCCCTATCGACAAGGGCAAAGCACTAAACAATATCGTCACACCACCTAAAAACGACATTGAACTCAAGCTCACACCTCTAGTGCCTTCTGCACCGTCTATTGTGCGTAAAACAGCACCGGTTAGAACCGACGGTTACGCATTGAATCGCACACAAAGCACTGGTGGAATTGCGGCTAAAGTCTCACTCGAACTCAAAAAGAAGTATCTATTGGGTGAGAGTCACGCCCCGGGGGCTATACAAAAGTCGGGCAGTGCTTCGACTCTTGACACTAAACTCAAATCGTTCCATAGCAATATAACCGATTGTCAAAAAATGTTAAAACCGGTTATAACCGCTCAAAAACCACCACCGATTTCGATTAAACCGGAAGTTTATGAAAACGAACCAGAAGGTCGTCCCCGAAGTCCAGTCCATGAGACTTCCATCATAGTTCCTACAATCGACTGGTCGAAAACTAAACCGACCAATCACAGCGAAGATAGTCTCTCGACCGATTCCGAACCGAAAACACCCGAATTCAACTTTGACTCAATCCCGACTGTTCGAATCGACGAAATTCCACCCGATTCTCTATGTATTGAAGCCGAGGTTGGGATGGTGGTGGAACCCCCGAAAACCACAAAAACGCTCAATCAACCCAAACTTTTACCCGAACTTGAAACAAAAGACGTACTACCGGAAATACACGACGTGCTTCATGTAAAGCGAAAACTCTCGATTGAAACTGAAAGCAAATCGTGCGATTCTGAAGTCGAAGCTGAAGTCACGGCTGCCTTGACCGAAACCGAACTGTCCGATTGGGCGCGAGATGGCGCCGTTTCCGATGATTTAGGCGATGATTTTGACCTTGAAACTTCTCGTAGTAACAAAAAACCGAAAATGATCGATAACAAGGCGAAAATTACTGAATTGGAAGACTTGGACCACGTGTGCGGGAAGGAAACAACTGAAGCTTTGAATAGTGTCCTTTGCAGGAATCTAGATATCGAGTTTATGGACACAGGGACTGAAACTAGTAGTGATGATGGGGTTGTTGATAGTCAAGACGGCTATGTTTTGTTCAAGGATGAAGAAGATTTGGCCGAGGATAGTCTAAATCCGGTGATTGAAGCCCGAAATGAAGTTTTAAAAAATACAGGTTACTGTATTATCGACTCTGAATCGAATTTTGGTAGTGCGGTGACTGATTTAAAAGCCGATGATTTGGAACAATTGAAAGCCAAACAAACAAATGAACATGACGAGGATAGTTTATTGATAGTGGAAGGTACAACAACTGAAGAAAACACTTGTAGTGACTCAACTGTCAAAAATTTGACTGAAATCGCCGTCGATAAAGACCCGATTGAGAATAACAATTTTCAAAGGAAACGACTTGAGGATAAATTAGCTAAACTCAAGGCCGAACAAGCTTCCCGAGTGGAATTCGACGAACACTGTCGCCGATTACAAACCAAATTCGAGTTTAGCCACGTCAAGGATTCAATAGATGTTCGAAAATCTCGTCGAAAGAGCAAAGACTCGCCCCAAAAACCGGATTTGATTCAAGAGGAGAAAGCCACGCCTCCGGAAAGTCCGGTGACTCCGGTCGTTCGCACTCCTGACGTCATCTACAAGAAGGAGTTCATCGAAAAAGAACGAGATGTTAACCAAAAACTCGTCCAAGAAATGGTAATGAACAAAATGAAGGCGGAGAATAAGAGTCTAGAAAGGCGGCGACGGAAAAGTCGCCAATTTGAATTATCCAAGTCGGCGACGACCGATATTGTATCTGAAATCAACCACAACTTAACCGATTCGAACCGAACCGCTACGCCTGATGTGCTTTTGTCAACATTACGACCGGTTAGCGTCCACGTGACTGAGTTTCAAACACCGGTGGCGCCGCCTAGGTTGAAACATGAGAAGTTAAAGGAAGATGCGAGAGTAAGGGCAAGATTGTTGTCCAATGAGGAGTTGGGATTGAGTCCGGAGGATAAGTTGGTGAAGTTGAGGGAGAAGTTGGGGGAGGGGTCGTTGAAAAGGTCAAAGAGTCGGGAGGAGACGAAAGTGGAGCGTGAGTCGCCGATGAAAGTGTGCAAATCTGACCCTAATTTATTGGATACGGACGAGAAGAAAGGGAAAAAGAAGAAAGATAGGGAGAGGAGGAAGAGTTTTACTAAGATTTTTACGACTTTCTTTACGAAGAAGAGTCCAACGGGACTTTTAGCGAAGATTTCGCCGAAAGCGAGAGACGTTTCAAAGGTAATTTCTTATCGGAAGCTTTAAATCATCAATCATCGCCATTTATTAACTTTATTTAATAACCGGATTATTTTACAGTCGTGTGCGAATTTGGACCTGAGAGATGCTGTAAGAGTTTTATTTTATTTTTTTAATGTCTTGTGTGTTTTGTATTCTTCTCTAGCATGTTTCTCTTGCATGTTGTCATGTCATCATCATTCATTTAGTGTTGAATTTTGGTGTTGGGTTATATTGTTTGAGGGGAAACTGAAAGTTGTTCTTAACAGGAGGTGGTGATTGAGGAGCCGATTCGGAGGAATAGTTTCTCGGGACATCGGGACAGCGGAACGCCCCCTCCAGTGCCACCACTACCACTCCATTACACAGGGAATTCGATCAAAGGCAAGCAAACATTTTTATAATGAACTCATTTTTTAATAAAATATCTAGCCCGAAAATGACTTGTTTAAACACATTTTTTAAGCAAAAACCGAGTAATCTACTATTTACATTGAAATAAGTTACATTCATATTCACTTCGCTAAAATTGGCTGAATAATCACAAATTTAGCTCCAAAATGGTGCTATTTTTGTCTTTTTCGAGTGTTTTGAAATCAAAAATTCAAGTTTTTTAATTAAAAATCCATTTTTTCGCCCAAGAAGGCCACAAAATTGCAAATTTAAGTAAAAACTTACTTTGTTTTTGCCTTTTTGTACTTTTAGACAAAAACAATTATTATTCTTGAAAATTATTTTTTTTTCAATTTCGATAAACAATTATTTAGTGTGAGCAAGTTTTTGCTAAAAGGCCACTTATTTTACAAGGATTCGATTAAAAGTTTTATCGAAAATACCGATATTTTGCCTTTTCCGGACGTTATAATACGTTTCGAAGCCAAAAATTTACTTCTTTCCTTAAAAATTTCTCCTTTTTGCTCACTTTTTAAGTAAAAATCTTGCTTCGTTTTCAAGATTTTACTTGAATATGCCGAAAATAAAATGATATTGTTGGCTTTTTCGAAGGTTTGAACTTGTTTTTGGGCAAAAATTTAATATTTTCCATTGAAAACTAACCTTTTGCTAAAACAGGTTAAAAACTAAGATCACCTACAGATGTTCGTTTTTTCGAGCTCCACCATGGGGATCTCAGTTATTATAAGAGATTCGAGGTCGGTTAAATTAGGGCAAAGTTGCGCATTTTTATGCTGAACAATAATCTGAAAGAAAATTTAATGTGTCATTTTTAGTTTTTGAATTATTGGGAAAAAAAACGGAAATTTGTAATTTTCATTTTTATTTTTTCAAGCGAAAATAAAGACCTAGACGTTTTTAATTAGGACGTTCTTAAGGCACTTTTTTACAAGGAATCTGAATCTGTCATCGTATTTTCCAAGGCGCTCTTGATATCGGAGTTACAACACTCAACTTTGGATTTTCTTATGGACGCCATATTTGATTTCTGTATTTTTGAAAAGTCTTTTTGTTTCTGGTCACACAATATGATCAAATTTTTGCGTTTTTGCGAAGAGTGCTTTGGAAAAAATTCCAACAATTTTAACTAACAAGCTAAATGACTTAATTGAAGGTGTCATGTGTATTAACATATATTTGGAGTTACAAGCATTTTAATATAATCTGCTGGTACTTTTTCCAATTTGTTTTTGGTAAAAAAAATCACATGATATACATATAAAGGCCTATGTGAATATTGTTTCCTTGTTATAAAAAAAACTTAGGTAATTATGTTTTTTATAGATCTTTTAACGATGAAATATACATGACCCCTTCATCCACTATAATGCATTAGTTTATATTATTAAAAAAATGATAAAAGTGTTATGTACCAAAAAACAAGCTTTATTTTCTAATACAAACTTTGTGATAACTATTGCTTTATAAAAATATTTCAAGCTTAACAAAACATTTATAAATGAAATTCTAACGACACAATATAAAAAAGTCCACTTTATGCTGTCCCGAAAATTAACATTCTCATTTAAAAAAAATTTTTTTCTTGTTTTCTGGGTGTAATTTTGAAGCTAGTTCATTGACTTTTCGAAATCAGTTTTCTGACAAAAATATACCGAAAAGTCACTACATTAAGTGAAAAATAATTAATTTTGCTTGTTTACATCACGTTTTTTTGTAAGATTCTGTTAAAACACATTGAAAAATTACCAAATTGCGTTGAAAATGACCTTCTTCATGATTTTTTGGGCATTTTAGCACGTTTTTGAATTAAAAAGTTACAAAATTATTTCGTCACAGATAGCTAAATTTACTCCAAAATGGTGTTGTTTCTACTTTTTTTAGATTGTGCTAAAAAATTTGTTCAAAAATAATATTATTTTTCCGTTTTAGGACGTATTTTAGTCAGAATCGCAATTGTTTTGAAAATTTTCGTCGAAAATCAGGTAAAAAATGAATAAACTATCACGAAACTAAAATTATTTTTGCTTCTTTGGAGAGTTTAAGCATGTTTTTGAGCCGAAAAATCATCTAGTTACTTTTCCAAACGTTTTAGCAGATTTTTCAATCAAAAGCACAAAACTTCGTCAAAAATAAGCCGAAAAATCACATAATTAATTCGAAAATGATGTTATTTTTGCTTTTTTTAAACATTTAGGTGCGTTTTTAAGTCTAAAACAACGTTTTTTCTTTAATTTTTGGTAAAAAACATACCAAAATTAATACATATACTAGACCAAATAAAAAACGACATAATTCATGCTCTTTTCGAACATTTTAAAACATTTTTCAATAAAAAACGCAATTATGTATAACGCAAAATTTTGTCGGAAAGTAATTGAATTAAGTAAAAATAGTAGTAGTAATAGTAAAAATTATTTGTGCTTTTTTTTTAAACATTTATTTATTATTTTTTATTTATTTACTTAGACATATTTTAACACCTTTATCCACTGTTTATTCAATAATCCCAGTTGTACATAACGCTTTTAGCATTTGGTAATTTCAATCCTAATAGAAACCAACACTTAAAAGTCTTTTTCAATAAAAGAATATTGCGAAAAAAATTGTTTTAAAAGAAAATACCAGTTTTCAAAACTCGCGCCCCAGAGATAAATGTCATATAAGGTAAAAAAACAGGAACATGGGAAAAAATGTTAAAAAAATTTTATCTATAAAAATTTCGAAGTTCTGAGAGTTTAAATTTTGCACTTTGACCCTATTTATTTTTGTTGGAAAAATTATTTTCCAAGTTTTTTTGCTACGGACTATTAGAAGAGAAAACAAGGAAGCTGTATCCTAAATTGTAACTCTGTTTAATGTTATTTGTGGCTTTTATTGCAAAAATTTTTGTATCTTTACTAAATAATTGTAAAAAAAATGTCAAATGTCAAAAAATAAATGTAAAATTTATTGACAGAAAGAATTTTTTTTAAACATTTTTTCCATGTTCCTGGTATCTTATCTTACCTGAATTTTTTTCTCTGGGGCGCGAGTTCTGGCGCACCCTGTATACAAAGGGATGATAAAGTTATGCGCAAAATTCATAATTTCGCTATTCTGCATTTTTTCGAAGAATGCTCAAACAAATCAATTTTACATTTTAAAAAGGCATTTTTTCGCAGATATTTTTTATTATACCTTTTAGTGCTTTTTTAAAATGTAAAATTGACCTGTTCGGAGCTATGAATTTTGTGCAGGACTTTGCCCTCACTCTGTATATACGGGTATATTTGCCTTTCTCTATCGTTTAAACAACTTTCAGGTACAAAACTCAAGTTTAACTCTAATTTTTCTAAATTTTATTAAAACAGTTCGAAAATACACAAAATTAACTCACTTTTTTGCTCGTTCTTGCCTAAAGTATCTAAAAACACTATTATTCGCTTAAGAATTCACTCAAATAGGTCGAAAAATGTCTGTTTACTTTGAAAACTGACGTGTTTTTTGCTTTTTTCAAACATTTGACTTTGGAAATAATTTTTTTTTTTAATAGACGACGACAGTTCGGACGGGGACCGCCACGACCGGAGCTCCTGCGACACTCTCGATAAATCCGGGACCCTCGACTCGGTCTCCAGCAACAACCGTCAGAACAAAGGTGCGCGAAGAGCGGCCCGTCAAGCTCAACTGAAACGGTAATTCCCCCTTTGTTAACCTCCCCCAATTTTAACAAAAACTAAAGTTTGTTAGTTGGACTAACTTAATTAACAAAACTAACTCGACAGACATCGCATGGCGCAAGAAATCCAACGCAAACTCGAAGAGACTGAAGTGAAAACGCGCGAGTTGGAGGAAAGAGGCGTTTTGGTGGAGAAGGCGCTTCGAGGAGAGGTCGATGGACGGTGTCCGAAGGAAGAATCAGAACTGTTGCAGGAATGGTTCGATTTGATGAGAGATAGAACCGAATTGCGGAGATATGAAAGGGAGTTGATGGTGAGGGCGCAGGAGTTGGAGTTGGAGGATCGGCATGCGAGACTGCAGCATGAGTTGAGGGAACGACTGGAAAATGGTAAATCTCAGTTGCAGTGTTGCCAAAACATAAAATTCACCATATTACTATGCGCCAGAACTCGCGCCCTAGAGAACATGGAAAAAAATGTTAAAAAAAAATATCTATAAAAATTTCGAAGTAATGAGAGTTTAAATTTTGCACTTTGACTCTATTTATTTCTGTTGGAAAAAATTTCAACTTTTTTTGCTACAGGCTATTAGAAGAGGAAGTAAGGAAGTTGTATCCAAAATTGTAATGTTATTTGTGGCTTTTCTTGGCAACATTTTTGTACCTTTACTAAATAATTATAAAAAAAATATACCAGGTGAATAAAAAGTACGGAACCATGCGTTTTTTTCGTAAACTAAGCACTTTACGAAAAAAATAATTAGTGTAGCGTAAAGTACAATTAAAATGTGACCATTTATCAAGAATAATATTTTTCGAAATTTCTTTTAGTTTTCGAGTTCTGGAATTTTTTTTTTTTAAATGGCAACCATGGTAATTTTTTTAATTAAAGATTATGTCCTAAAAATAACCTCTAATTAAATAAAATTAATTTTTAGCCAGTACTTTTTTAAAATTAATTGTTAAAGTTGCGTTCATCAAACATTTTTCCGAACTTAACCGAAGTGGTTAAGTGGCTAATTTAATTTAATTTAATTGTACTTTACGCTACACTAGTTATTTTTTTCGTAAAGTGCTTAGTTTACGAAAAAAACGCTTGGTTGCATACTTTTTATTCACCTGGTATACAAGATCAGCAGTATCATTAAATAGACATAAAAAAATGTCAAATGTCAAAAACTAAACATCAAAATTTTTTGACAGATGGAATTTTTTGAACATTTTTTCCATGTTCCTGGTATCCTATCTTGCTTGTTATTTTTCTCTGGGGCACGAGTTCTAATACACCCTGTATATCACGCGAAATAACGCAGATTTCAGCTTGAAAATCCGCTTAAGCTCGTGAAAAGCAAAAATGACATGCATTTCGGCTTAGTTCTGTGATTTTTTTGGTGGATTTTTAATAATTTTAATGTAATGTCACAGAAAAAATGAGAATTTATTTTAGTTCAAAAACGTGCTCGAAACTTGAGGAAATTTGAGGATTTCGCCTTATTTTTGACAAACTTTCTCCCAAAAAGGAGCTATATTGAGCAAAAACAAGATAAATATTATCAGGTTTCATCTAATTTGGTACTTTTACAGCGTTTTAACGAAATTTTCTGAGAAGAGAAATTTAACACTGATTTTTGGCCTAATTTCGTAAAATTTTGGGTTGTTTTAAATATGCGGAAAAATAGCGTTTCTAGCTGAAAAATGTGCTAAAACACTTGAAAAAAGCAAAAGTAATGCTACTTTTGACCGACTTTAGCGATTTTTGATCCTGGTTAGTGAAATGAAGCTATTTTTAAAATAATTTGGTGCTAAAATGCAAAAATAATGTAATTCTTGACTTAATTACTTGATTTTTTAGTTTATTTTAGCGAAATCTAGTGAAAAACCTGAGATTTTAGTACAAAAACGCGCTTAAATGCATTTTCGGCCAAATTTATTATTATTATTTTTGTTTTAGTTTTGCTCAAAGAAAAGACCTTTTTGTGATTTTTAGGTGTGTTTGGACAAAATTTTGCAAAATAAATGAACCTCTGGTTAAAAACGGAAGTAAGTCGGGCTAAAAAATGATATCAATTTCAATTAATTTTGTAATTTTTTAGCCTGTTTCAGCGCAATAATTCGAACTTTTTGTATTTTTATCTCTCAAAAACATGCTTAAACATTTGAAAAAGACCAAAAAACGCCGTTTTTGTGTTATTTTCTTGAATTTTTGGTTTGTTTTTAACAAAATTTTGCAAAATAATTGCGGAAAAAGCATTCGAAAAAAACATAAGTAATTTGTCATTTTCGACTCTATTTAATAATATATCGTAAAAAAATAAATAGAATTATATTTTTAACACGACTTGGTTTTTCGATTTTTTTTTTTTTTGAGAAAATGTAACGAAATGATCAAGTTCAAGCCTTAGAGTTAGGTAAAAATATCAATGTAATCTTTTTTTATAACAATTTGGTGATTTTTGACATGCCAAACTCTCGCAAAAAAAGTTTTCAGCTTAAAAATCTCCTTGAACTTTTGAAAAAAGAAAAAATTATATCATTGTCGGCACAATTCTGTGTTTTTTTTTTTTTGGCTTGTTTTTGACCAATTTTGCGAAATAATTGCGTTTCTAGCTGAAAAACGTGCAAAAACTGACTAATAAAACCTGAGATTGTAGTCCAAAAACGTGCTTAAAAACGTTTTCGGCTTATATTTGTCTTATTTTACCCAAAAACCAGTTAAATGGAGTGAAACAAACAAAATAACATTGTTTTTGTGATTTTTAAGGGTGTTTGTACAAGATTTTGCAAAATCAATGCTCTGGTTCAAGTCGAGCGACGCAAGCTAAAAAATAATATCAATTTCGATTTAATTTTGTAATTTTTTTGCTTGCTTCAACAAAATTTTTAGAATTTTCTAAAAAACGTGCTCAAACACTTGAAAAGTGCAAAAATAACGGTGTTTTGGTCGAATTTGTTGAACTTTTGGATTG